TTCTCTGCACTTCTGTGCTTAGAGAAATACATTTCCTTCAGCTGCTATTACCTAGCCCTCAGGGAACAGGAGTTGCAGGGGACACTCATGATCCAGACCATCCACTTGATGTCTCCTGAGGCAGTGCCCATCTGATGCTGCTCATTTAGCCCTAACATCCCAGCCTCTTTGCCAGTAGGGATTTATGTGGGTGTGGGCACCAGGCTTCCCAATGTGGAAGAAGGAAGGGGCCCACCTAAAATTTTTTTTCAACTTTACCATCTGTTTCTTTCCCACATCAGGGTCAAATCACCTTCAGTTACCGGGGCCATGGGAGGTTCTCACATATTTGTTGTTGTTTTATTAAGAACTTTAGAGATCCATTAGCATCTCTCTGGTATCAGTGGTTTGTGCAGGGCTAGATTCCAGAGAGCCAGATGCCCCGATCTGATGACTTCCCTAAATGAAAAATGTTTGCTGCTTCTGTAAATATGTTTTTTATATTATAAAGATTAGAACATTGAAATGTTGTGTGTATTTGCCTCTCAATGCAATGGAGTATATATATTCTTTGAGTGGAAGTGAGACTAGTCTTGAAATGTCTCTGATAATATGCATATCAATAATTTGGAGTGCAAGCTGAATGGTGAATAAAACATGTAGGTATACAATTGTAGTGTTTCATTATGGCCCATGAAATAATTGCATCAAGCCATATATATTTAAGATATTTGTACTAAACAGAACAGCGGCTGATTTTGATGTCTTGAGATGCTTTTCTCTTTCTATCCATGAAGGTAATTAGATCGGTAGTAATGCTCCCTTCAATGAATGACTCACAACTAGCTGAGCTGTTTAAGATCTTTGGTGATGTTTTCATAACCAGTAATGGGACTGCTTGAAAATACAACTTCAGTATTTGGGAGGAAGATTTAGAGATCAGAATTGAGATTCATTATTTTTGTTACTACTGCAGTCAGTCAGAAGTAAAATTAGGTATAAGCTAGCATCTGATTGTGGTCTGAACCCTTGGGGTACTGAGGCATGCATTTGCTCTTTATGGGGAACGATGGTGAAGGAAACAGCAGGCAGGATGCTGAGAGGCAGGTTCTGTCCATTTGAGGAGTGAAAACACTGAATTCTGGCACAAATGCCAATAATTTCAGCTCTAAACACCAAACCCTCTATCCTGATTCACTAATATTTTCATTTAATGGGCATTAATACCTTACCTCATTCTTGGAAAACTGTAAATATAACCAGTCTTTTTACAGAACCATTATGGAATACATACCAAACCAGTTTGTGATTATGCAATGGCACTAAATTTTCAGCTGCAAACTGTTGAGACATGGATGGTTCTAATGTACCTGTAATCTTTTTATTCCCTGGTTAATTAAATATCCAATTCTGAACGAAAAAATTGGTTTTATGAGATGAAATTTACAAAACCTTAAAGAAAGAAATAGAAGAGGATACCAAAAAATGGAAAAATCTTCCATGCTCATGGATTAGAAGAATCAATATCATCAAAATGTCCATTCTCCCAAAAGCAATTTATACATTCAATGCAATACCAATCAAGATACTGAAGACCTTCTTCTCAGATCTGGAAAAAATGATGCTGAAATTCATATGGAGACACAGGAGACCTCGAATAGCTAAAGCAATCTTGTACAACAAAAACAAAGCCGGAGGCATCACAATACCAGATTTCAGGACATACTACAGGGCAGTTGTTATCAAAACAGCATGGTACTGGTACAGAAACAGATCGATAGACCAATGGAACAGAATAGAAACACCAGAAATCAATCCAAACATCTACAGCCAACTCATATTTGATCAAGGATCCAAAACCAATCCCTGGAGTAAGGACAGTCTATTCAATAAATGGTGCTGGGAAAATTGGACTTCCACGTGCAGAACCATGAAGCAAGACCCCTACCTTTCACCTTACACAAAAATCCACTCAGCATGGATTAAAGACTTAAATCTACGACCCGACACCATCAAATTATTCGGATATGGCTGAAGAGCCCATGAGAGTATTTTAGGCATGGAAAGCCAAGACACCCTGGAAAAAAAAAAAAAAAAAAAGAAGAAGAAGAAGACCTAAATGGAAGATCTCTGCGAGTGAGATCCCAGTGGAAAAAACGGGGCCATCAAAGAAGGAGGTACCTTTCTCTGAAGGGAGGAGAGAACTTCCACTTTGACTATGACCCTGTCAGAATAAGATCAAAGTTGGCGAACTCAAAAGGCTTCCATAGCCTTGGCAACTCATGACTAGAGCCTAGGGAGATTACTGACGCCATAAACAAGAGTGTCAAATTGTTAAGTCAACAACAGGAGTCACTGTGTACTTACTTCTCATGTGGGATCTGTCCTTAGTGTGTTGTCCAATGTGAAATAATGCTATAACTAGTACTAAAACAGTATTTTACACTTTGTGTTGCTGTGTGGATGCAAACTGATGAAATCTTTACTTAATGTATACTGAACTGATCTTCTGTGTATAAAGATAATTGAAAATGAATCTTGATGTGAATGGAATGGGAGAGGGAGCGGGAGATGGGAGGGGTGTGAATGGGAGGGAAATTATGGGGGGGGGAAGCCATTGTAATCCATTAACTGTACTTTAAAAATTTATATTTACTAAATAAAAAAATAAAAAAAAATCTTAACAGCCATTACATAAGAAAGATGGATTGTGTGAGAACAATGGTTCTTCCTGCCCCAAATTCCATCTACCAGTGACAACAAAAGACATGGTAGAAAGATCAGTTACTCCTCCTCCTCCTTCATATCATCATCATCATTCTCATCATCTCTACCACCACCATCATTCTCAAAAATTGCTATTCTAACAGTTTTCCAAATATTATGTCATTTAGCTCTCAAAACAACCTCATGAGGCCAATAACATTATTATGCCTTGGCAGCTTTAAAACATAAATTTAAATTCATTGACATTCCAACAGTCAAGATCTGGTGTCTATGTCCTTGAATGTGGGCTGCACTTAATGTCTCCCTTGTAACCAAGAGGAACAGAATGAGTAACATAACTTCAGGGTTATACCAAGGAAGGCAATGCAACTTCCATTTGGTTCTTTTGGGATCCTGGCTCTGGGGGAAGTCAGCTACCACGTAAAAAAGTCTGTCTATCCTGAGATTATCATTCTGGAAGATCTACATTAAATGCCCCTGGAACCTCAGCTGATGGCCATTGTCAACTTCTAAGTATGTGAGGGAGCTACTGTGTACATCTTGTCCAGCTAAGCTGACATCTGACTGAGTGCCATGGGAGAGAACTGCTTTACCAAGACCTTCCCAATCAGTGATCCACAAAATTGTGAGCAATGTAAAATTATTGTAGGGGCAGATCTCTATTTTATAGGTGAGGAAACTAAGGCACCCTCAGAAATCAGATACATATTGCATTACTCAGCAGTACACTAAAAGGAAGAAGGAAAGAAAAAATAGTACCAGAAATAATTATATAGATAATCATCTGGAGCAGGAATTGAATATTCAATTTTAGGACAAAAAGTTAAAGTCAATCAGGATCCCCATCAAACCAGTTCCTTCTCTTAATTTCTCTATTTATATTCATGGCTTCTTTATTCCTGGTAACTTCTTAGCTTATTTTATGCCTCTTTCTCCATCAGAATGCAGTACCCTGAGAGCAGGAACCCCATCTGTCTTGCAGATTCCTGGATTCCCAGTGCCCAGCACAGTGCTGATGCATAGAGGAGACTGACAAATGTTAAGAGAGTGAATTGCATTACAGATAGAAATCTTGGTCATTTTTAAATATTTTTCTTACCCTCAGCCTCCAGTTCCAACCGTAGATTATAAACTGAGAACATTGTTCTGGTCTATCCTCCCCCAATTCAACTACTATTTCCAAATTAAACACTTTGTCTCTTCACCTGAAGAAGACTACAATCAATGATGGGCCTTTCTGCCTGCAAATATTTCATATTTTCAATGTACCTCTTATATCATTGCTCCATCAATGCTAATGGCCCCTACTGCTTGCCAAATGAAAAACAAAGTCCTTCAAGGCCTTTCCCAGGATGATCTCAGCCCTGTTCTGGACCCCTCAATCATTGTACCCCTATGAGTTCTCCAGATCCCAGTAAAGTGGACCACTCACTCCTTTTGGGACAAATGCACAGGGTTTTATTCACTGATGATGATTTTTTATGCCTTTTCTTTTAACAATCATTTCCGTGCATTAAAATGCAACCAGTTCACCAAGGCCCATTTCCAGGCAGACGTCAGTTCAATACAGAACCCTTCTCTGACCCTCACAATCATATACAATAGAGGACATTTCCTTTCTCTAGCCACATGGCATTTTGCAATCCTTTTAAGGTAGTTATTACAGTATGCTTGGATATCTGGGTTTTAGGTGCAGAACCTTCTACTGTATGTACTTAACAAAGTGTGAGCATATTTCCTATTCCTGTTTTTAATCCTGTGAAGCACACAGTGTAGCAAGATGTCATCTGTCATTAGCTATCAAATGAACTGAATGAATGTTCAGGGTAGCTACATTCAAAGGATTTCCTCAGTTTGAAGTAGAGTTACGTTTTAAAATATCTATCCTAACAGAGGTTAATAGGGGACTATCTTTCCTGATAAGTGATCCCAATGGATTGGCTACATTAAAAATTAAAGTCTCAGGGTAAATTTCAATATGCCATTCTACTTGGCCAGACTAGTATTGGCTTGTAAGCTGCCCAAGGGCTAAATGAAAAATTTAAATTATTTGACTCTAATTTTGAAGTAAAGAAAATCTTTCAAAGCAAGATAAAAAGGCTGGAAATATAAAAAACAAACAGTGATAAATCTGCACACATAAATTTAATGTTCCACATGACAAAGGTAGTATAAATAAAGGTTAAATATTGATGACACATTAGAGAAAAAAAAATGTAGTACAGTCCATGAGTCAAATTCCTTAACTAACAAAAAGTTTTGAAAATCAATAAGCAAAAATCAGACACTCTAAGAGAAACTAAGCAGGATATGCACAAAAAGAAATAAAAACAGCCAGTAAGTATACGAGAAGATGGCTGACCTGTGTAAAGTCTGGAAGTTGTAAACTCAGTTTTAGGGATGGGGATAAATCCACAGCCTTTTCAGGGAAGTGATGTGGCAATATTGATCTAAATAAAACATGCACATGCTCTTTAGGCTAGCTAGTTCATTTCTAGGCATTGATCCTTCAGAAATATTCAGTCAAGGAAAACACGTACGTGAAGAAGAATAGCTATTACAGCATGAACAATGGCTGGAAACAACCAAATGGAAAAAACTGGAATCACCTAAATTGATTGCTACTCTTCATGTGGTCATTCCCAATAGAAGATTGGGCTCAATCTCTGAAAATAAAAACCTCCCAAAGATTAAGTGAAAAAGAAAAGACACAGAGTAGGATCCTGTTGTAATTCAATTTGGATTTTCTACAAGTAAGAAAAGGACAGGCATATAAGGCATATATATGCATACATGGCCACAGGCAAGTGCGATCTTTCTGGAAGAATACATTTAAAACTGTTAACAGCTTCCTCATGGTTGGGGGAGGGGGAAAAAAGGACTTTTTCTTTACATTTTACCTCTTTATGTGTCTGTATTTCTTTCTTTCCTTTTCTTTTTATTCGAATTAATCATGCAATCATTAACTCTTATAACAAAACTGAAGTTTTAAAAGGTACTTTGTCTACTTATTTTCCTTTTGTCATTTTGCGAAAACACGTCCAGTCTTTAACCTTGTAGCTAAGCATCTTTCCCTCTCCTTTTGCACAGAAGTCCTTGTAATGGTTTGTGGGGCCTAGAGTTTTGATCAATGCAAGCTGAAAGTCAGGCAGACGGGCTTTTTAATAAGCGTTCTTCAGAAGTACAAGCGCTACATTGAGTCCTAAGAACTATGGGGTAAATGGAAACACATGCCAATGCTAAGGGCAGCCCAGGAATTTTAAAGAGAAACAGGAGCAAGGCTAGGAGACAGCACTCCCTCCTAACTGCATCTCAGCTTATCTGAAGACATTCCAGTAGCTCACTTCACTAAGAAAATGAGCTGGCCAAACTTCACACTACAGGTGAAATATATAATTCTCCCTACCTTTCAGAACATGCACTTTTCTAAAGAGTAGTCACTGATAAGTACCAAGAAAATTGGATGGAAGAACGGATCTGCTAATGAGCTCGTATCCCAAATATCTCCTCTGACAAATGCATAGGGCAAAGAGTTAAGACGGCAAAGGTTACCTGCAGCTAAGTAGGCCCATATATCTGGCTATTGGAGAAGGAATATGTAAAAATGTATCCAGATTATTTTGTGTTCTAGACAGAACAGCAAAAACCACATGGGAATAAACCATGCTGCTTTGCACATGCATTCCAGCTTGGTGCAGCTAACCACTCTTCACTGGAGAACTGCAGGATGTGAAGTTTCCTGGACCAGGGAGAGCTTCCAACAGGCCAGTCAATGTCAAAATCTTATGGATGCTTTGTTAGCATCTAGTGTTCCCTATCCACAAACCTAAGAAGGTAGTGACATTACCACCAAACACATTAATGATAGCTCAGCAATTACAGACTTCTATGACAAAGTTAGGAGCAAAAAGAGCACTATGTCCAAGCTATAGTGAAGGTAAGGAGCCCCTGTTTCTAACGCTGAGAAAAGAACAAAGTGAGCGATCTGCAGCTTGGTCTGTATGGGAAGCACAAGTGTTTGAAAACCGAAGATGTGAACAATGTCTGCCTCTGGCAAATGAAGCCCAAAGGCATCTTCATCACCAGCAGGAGGCCGCAAGCTTGAGAAGGAAGGGGAACAAGGGAGAAACAAAGCAACCTGATGGGCTGCCCGCCTGTCACCTGTCATGCCTAGGTAGTAGGTGCAGGAAGGGACGTGACAACAGTCTTAAGCAGGGGTGCCAACCAATCTCCAAGCAGCCTTTTGTTGAATCCCTCCCTCCATCCTTGGGTGTGTGGCCAATGGTGTTGGGGAGGGGTGGCGGCACAGTGGGCCTGGGCCAGGAAGGAGACATTACCAGGCTTCCTGGTCTACCATCCTTTGACGACTTTTGCCAGGGGCTGAGGCTCTCTGGCCTGCAACAGGGTGGCAGGCCCCCTCTGAGTCCACAGGGGTGTGTCCCATATGCATGGTGTGTTTAGGGTCCTATAAAATGTGAGATAATAGCGCCATTAGATTATTCAGAGAAATACTCATTTCCGCTTTCCCCCATAACTCAGTGTTCCTAAGCTTTACGCAGGCACATAGTGAGAGAACACAGAAAAAACACAAACACATAGTAACACAGTGAGGGATTTGAGGATGCAAATTGTTCACTGATGAAGGAAGAAACAGTTGGGAAGATTGCAGAACCAATGGAGAAGAAAATAAGGCCTCTCGAGTCCTAGGCACTACAGCTCTGCAAGTCCCATCCTGAAAGCAAAGGGAAGTTTTCTCTGCAGGGGAATCTAATGCAGGAGCTATAATGCATGGGATTGAAGCCCAGCCCCACTGGCAGCTGGGCAATCTTTGGCAAATGAGTGCAGCGTGCATCGTTCCTCACCCATAAGGAAAGGATTTGAGCAGCTGAGAGGCCTATACAAGGCACTGTGTGGAAAGCACCTAAGATTGTGTGTGGCCCACAGCAAGCCCTGTCTACATGCTAGCCAGTGCTCCTTCCACTCATATAACCTCCTCAACTCAACCCTCCCAACTTCACAGTAATCAATCCTTTAGCCTTGGCTCAGGCAATGTCCTACTTATCCTTCAAAACCCAGCTCAAAGACATGCTCTCTTCGAAGCACTCTCTCTTTCCCTATGAAAATGTAATTATTCCTCCATTTCTTGTTCCACAGCATTTGTCCATACCTCCAAATTGGCACATACCACATATGTTCATCATCCACGTATACGTGCTGCACTACCAAAGCAAGGACTATTCAAGGTCAGAGCATGCTCTTGAAAATAAATCAGCCAATAGATGAACAGATTTTTTTTTTTTTTTGAGGTTGATTTATTTGAAAGGCAGAGTTGCAGAGAGGGAGAGGGGGAGGGAGAGAGAAAAAAAGAGAGATACACTGAGAGAGAGAGAGAGATTGATTGATTGAACTTCTATCTGCTGATTCACTCCCCAAATGGCTACAATGGCCAGGGCTGAGCCAGGCCAAAGCCAGGAGCTTTTTCTGGGTCTCCCACATATGTGCAAGGGGCCTAAGGAGTTAGGCCATCCTCCATTGCCTTCCCACACAAATTAGCCTTCCCACACACATTAGAGGTGGATTGGAAGTGGAGCAGCCAGGACACGAACTGGCACTTACATGGGATGTCAGCGCTGCAGGCAGTGGATTTTACCCACTGTGCCACAGTGCTGGCCCCATGATTTCTTAACAAGTTTGCTTTAGTCTTACTTGTGCTTTCCTCAGGCTGCTGTCAAGGGTTAGAGGAAACTGAAGTCCACACAGTACATACACAGGTGAGCACATACACGATCTGCAAATGGATGTTCTGTTGTTGAAACAGCAGGAAGATCTGAGTATTTGCTATATTTCTTCTCCTTATGAGACTGATATGCAGGGAGAAAAATATTGATATAATTTTTAATTGGCAGCTATTAACACTCTAAAATATCTGGTACCCTGATCACTAAATTAAAGAAGGAGAAAGCAAAAGACCAGAGTAGCCCAGTTAGATAATGGTCACAAGGACCAGTGAATGAGAGGCAGATGGATAAAAGGGACTATTGAAGCTAAATTGTGACTATTCCAGAAGCTGATGCTCTTATACAAGGTCTGGGCATGAAGGTGAGAACTAGTTCACTACAACAATCAAGCAGCAACACGGATTGGCATCTTGGGAGGGCAGCAATAGCACTTGAGAGCTCCACCAGGCCTCTGATTCCCATGAGTAAAAATTCTCACAGAGGTGGTCCCTACACACCTAGAAATTATACTAAATTATACTTGTATGAAAAAAATGTCTGTATAGGTGAATTTTTACAGGAAAACAGTCCATAGAACTTCTTCATCTCTTTTGGTTGCTAATACCAGAACACCATCAACTGAGAAGCTTATAAACAACAGAAATTTGAGCCGGCGCCGCGGCTCACTAGGCTAATCCTCCGCCTTGTGGCGCTGGCACACCGGGTTCTAGTCCCGGTTGGGGCACCGGATTCTGTCCCGGTTGCGCCTCTTCCAGGCCAGCTCTCTGCTGTGGCCAGGGAGTGCAGTGGAGGATGGCCCAAGTGCTTGGGCCCTGCACCCCATGGGAGACCAGGAAAAGCACCTGGCTCCTGGCTCCTGCCATCAGATCAGCGCGGTGCGCCGGCCGCAGCGCGCTGGCTGCGGCGGCCATTGGAGGGTGAACCAACGGCAAAGGAAGACCTTTGTCTCTGTCTCTCTCTCTCACTGTCCACTCTGCCTGTCAAAAAAAAAAAAAAAACAAAAAACAAAAAAAAACAGAAATCTGTTTATCACACTTTTGGAGCCTGTAAAGTCCAAGATCAAAGCATTGGAAAATTCAATGTCTGGTGAGGACACCCTTGCTCGTAGATGACATAACCTCTTTTTTTTTCTCACATGGTGGAAGGGGCAAGGGAGCTCTCAGGGGTCTCTTTAATGAGGACACTAAACAGGATTCATTAGGCTCCAATCTCAAAGCCTATTCATATCTCAAAAGTCTCTCCTGTTAACACCATTACATTAGGTATTAGGTATCAATATATGAATTTGGGGGGGTCACAAATGGTACAATCATAGAAGATACTAAAAAGTACTCAAGATTAAAGATAGAAAAAGTGAGGGGTAGGTGTTTGGCATTGTAGCAGTTAAGACACCACTTAGGATGATCACATCCCATACTGGAATGCCTGGGCCACTACCCATTCCAGCTTCCTGCTAATGCATACTCTGGGAGGTAAGAGGTGATGGTTCAACTAGTTGCATCCTTATCACCCACGTGGAGATCTGGATTGAGTTCTGGGCTCCTGACCTTATCCTGGACTATCTCTGGCTGGTTTGGGCATTTGGGGGGTGCAAACCAGTGCATGGAAATTTCTCTCTCTCTCTGTTTCTCACCATTTCAAATGAATAAAACAAATTTTAAAGCTTAAAAAGACATGGATTAACATGCATATGAATCACTTGGAGGATCTTACTGAAATGCAGGCTCTGATTTGTAGGTAAGCGTGGTGCATGAGCTCTCACATTTTAAACACATTTTTGTGATATCAAGGATGTAGTGTGCAGTCCACACTTTGAGTAGCAAGGATCAAGTCACTATTCCCATATACTAAAACTGACAGCACCTGGACTGCCAAGTCATGTGACCCACAGGATTCTGATACAAAGTGATGTGAACTTTAGTACATCTGACAACATATATGTGACATAAGACAAGCTCAGGGAGACGGCGCTGTGGCGCAGCAGGTTAAAGGCATGGGCTGAAGTGCCAGCATCCCATATTGGCGCTGGTTCCAGTCCCAGCTGCCCCTCTTCTGATCCAGCTCTCTGCTATAGCCTGGGGAAGCAATAGAAGGTGGCCCAAGTCCTTGGGCCCCTGCACCCACATAGGAGACCAAGAGGAGGCTCCTGGCTCCTGGCTTCAGAATGGCACAGCTCCAGCCATTGCAGCCATCTGGGGAGTGAACCAGCGGATGGAAAACCTCTCTCTCTCTCTCTCTCTCTCTTTCTCTTTCTCTGTCTCTGTCTCTGTCTCCACCTCTCTCTGTAACTCTTTCAAATAAATAAAATAAATCTTAAAAAAAAGGACAAGCTCAGCCAGGTATTACTGGAACTTTCTAAGATATCTTTGAAGTTTAGCAAGAACGTATATTACTTAGCTTATTGTTACTTTAACCAAATAACAAAGGAGCTTCTGAGGAATGAGATTTATTTTGGCTTACAGTTTAAGTCCACAGCCCAAGACCAAGTGATCCGCACTGATTCAGGCATCCAGTGAGGCAAGAGGATGGTGGACGGGTACACAGGATGAGCTAGGAAGCAGGGAGTCAACAACTGGTCACATCGCAGGCCTATACAACCAGCCTTCCCATAAGAATTGCCTTCCGAGGGAATGCCCCAAATATCTAAACACCTTCCATTGGGCCCACCTCCCAGACATCATAATAAGACCAAATATCTACCCTTAATCCATCAACCACTAATACTAATCCATTAACCATTAACATAAGATTCTGGAGCTTAAATTTCTTCATGAATATGGGGAGTCAAATCCTATTCAGACCATAGCACAGTTCATTACTAATACTGAAGAACCAGAAAAACTGATTAAGTTCAAGGCCTTTCACCATATCTGGGAAAGATACCGGAGTTCTAGGTGCCTGGGCCCTTTTTGTTCCTTCAGAAGGAAATTCAGATGAAAATCATTTTTTTTTTCTCAGTCCTGCTGATGCCTACAATTTGGGAAACTGTCAGAAAACTAAGGATGGTCAACGAACTCATTTTGTTTACAGAGAATCTATGGAGTGGTGATTATCCTTATGAAATACCAGATTAAACCTTTACCGGCAAGTTGAAGGCTTGGATATTGCTGGCTACAAGTTCCCTTGGTAAACACTGTCAATAGAGAGTTCAGCTTAACCCCAGTGCCCTGGCTCAGCTTTCTGCCTCCAAGGAGGAAAATGTGGCTGAGCGGTACTAAGATATCCAGGCTAAAAGAGGAATTTATCAGGGCAGGTAGAACCCAGAGTGTCCTACAGTTGAATTGTGCATCCACGGCTCTATCCCCAGAACACAAAGTATTATAAAGGCTGAAATCTAAATTGAAGTCTAAAAATAGCAGAATAAAATTATTTCCTTCTTTCACTCCACCAGAGAGCAAGCGGGCTGACATCAATATCTGCAGGGCACAACTGACTTCTCTGAATTTCCGTGCAAAGAACCATTACGCAACTGTCCTTTCTTGCAAACAGACTGACTGCCCCAGAAAATAAGGAAGGGAAAGCAATTACCCTGTTGCCGAAAACCAATAATGGATATTTGATTATAATTATTAATGGGGGGGAGGTGGCAGAGACACACTGCTGAGCAGCAACCAACCACTCAGTGAATCTGTAGGAGATTCCAAGAGGGGAATTAATTTTTTGTTTCCCTTTCATCTCTCAGCCAGTCATTTGAATGTGACACCAAACTTTAAGCATGGCCTGTCACATCCTTATCAATATTCACTGCTGCTGCACCACGGTCACATTATCTCCACTGGATACACCAAGTGACAGGCTCCTTGCTGTGGGGGATTGTTTTCCCTCTGACTCTAAATGTGAGGCGGATATAACAGGGTAACTGACTTGTCAGATGCAGGAAACTAATTTTCAAGGCATCAGAAAGACATTTTGTGGCAAATATTTACTTCTCTGTTTGTTTCCTACTGATGTTGAATATATGAGTACATTATCTAATCGGGAGGATGAGGGATTTACAATCTCTGTGAACAAAGAGATTTATGGTTCATTCTAAAGAAAACAATGATTCAGCCCCTGGTAAAAATACAATTGTACTGCGAAGTCCAGTTATCAATGAATAAAAAAGATCACAAGGAATGAAGGGAGAGTGACAATTGTGTGATTTCTCTGACTTTCTACTGCACCCTAAAAATGAGTTCCTTATACAATCTTACCTACCCACTGAATTTCCGACAGAACTTCAGCCTCAAGTCCACATAAACACGACAGCTGCTTCTAAAGTTGACCTCTAACAACTCAAGACTCATATGGGCGATGCTGCAAGTAGGAGATGCTAAATTAAAGATACTGGATGAAGAGATCGATGTGTTACCCTCTCTGTGCATGGTGAGATATTAGGCATTGTCAGGCATTATTTCATTCTGTTGTGCAATTTCCCTGTGAGGTAACTCCGATCATTATGACCTCAACTTAATAGATCAGGACATGGACTCAAGAGAACTTGATGTGTGCGCAGAGTTACAGCCAGCAGGTTGGTGGAACTGAGACTGAATTCCATTCCGGTGACAAGACCCGTTAACTGACAGCCCCAGATTTTCACTCACTTTATGAGAAACATTTTAAAGTCTCCTTCTCAGCCCAGAAAACGCAATCCCTTATTTATACCAAAACCAAACAGAACACTTAGGAACTCATGTGACTGGTCATTTTGATGTCAAATACACAGCATGAGACCCATAAAGCCATCCTTACCTGATTTTTTTTTGTGCTTTGTCTTGGTCATATTTGTGCAAATATAGGGACACTTCTCTTAAGATGATGGAAATAACAGTCGTCATAAATGGTAACAGAACAGATATTCATTATCATGTGCAAAAATGCGCATTTCCCTATGTTGCTGGTACAAGCATGAAGGATTCAATCAAAAACTATTACAAAATCCTATGTACACACACATCATGACACATTTCCTAACATTTAGTCTATTATTCTTCTCAGGATTCTTCAGCCGTTTTTCAATTCCACTACAACTAATAGCAACAAACATTTACTGAGCATGTACCATTCATGGAGGAAAGACGCTTTTCATACGTCATCTAATCTGTGTAACAGCACTCTGAGAAAGGTGCTATTTTTTTCTTTTTTAGACAGGAACACTGAAATCTACATGAAATACTTTGCCAAGGGTCACGACACCAGCAAGTATCGAGGAAACAATGATGAGATCATCTGACCCCAGAATCCATATTCTTAACCCTGTATTATCTTTTTTCTCTCGAATCCCCATCTGCTTATATCTGTCAACTACCAGTCCTTGCTCATGTCAGACCCTAATCTACAATGTCTCCCTTTTCTCAGGTGCCTTGGCCAGCTCCCAATCAGACCCAATGCTATGCTTTCTGGGAACCTTCCCTTGACCGCCTCCATAGACTGAACAGTTGCTACTCGTCTTTCATTTCTACAGCTCCACACACACCTGTTGTGAGGCGCCCATCAAGTCTCGGTCACGAGACAACAAGCTCCTTGAGGGAAAGCTCATACATCACTCACCCTTCCACCCAGAGTCCCTGGCATGGTGTCAGCACACTGTCTGCACACAATTGCCTAAACTCCCACCCTTGGCTCACTGTTTTGTTTTGCCCCTCCTTTCCCACATACTAGGGATGAGACATTTTATCCAGATCTTCTAAGGGACGTCTCTTCATACACATGACAGTAATTTTAAACCTCGCCTCTCTTTCCTGTTTTTATTTTCAGGCTAATAGATCTCAAAGTCTACCAAACTGTACTCAAAATATGATTTTTTTTTAGTATTTTCATCACTTCAACCATACAATTTCCTCACTTTCCTATGAAAGTTGTTATATTCCCACATATTCAATTTTTTAAAAATTTATTTGACAGGTAGAGTTATAGACAGTGAGGGAGAGACAGAGAGAAAGGTCTTCCTTCCGTTGATTCACTCCCCAAATGGCCACTATGGCCAGTGCTACGCCAATCCGAAGCCAGGAGCCAGGTGCTTATTCCTGGTCTCTCATGCGAGTGCAGGGGCCCAAGCATTTGGGCCATCCTCTACTGCCTTCCCAGGCCACAGCAGAGAGCTGGACTGGAAGAGGAGCAACCAGGACTAGAACCCGGTGCCCATATAGGATGCCAGCACCACAGGAGGAAGATTAACCAAGTGAGCCAAGGCGCTGGCCCCTCCCACATATTCTATTTTAATCTGCATTTCGTTATAAGCTTATACCTTATTTTAAAAGTCATTAAAGGCCGGCGCTGCAGCTCACTAGGCTAATCCTCCACCTTGCAGCGCCGGCACACCAGGTTCTAGTCCCAGTTGGGGCGCCGGATTCTGTCCCGGTTGCCCCTCTTCAGGCTCTTCTCTGCTGTGGCCCGGGAGTGCAGTGGAGGATGGCCCAAGTGCTTGGGCCCTGCACCCCATGGGAGACCAGGGTAAGTACCTGGCTCCTGCCATCGGATCAGTGCGGTGCCCCGGCTGCAGCGCACTGGCCGCACCGGCCGCACCGGCCGCGGCAGCCATTGGAAGGTGAACCAACGGCAAAGGAAGACCTTTCTGTCGCTCTCTCTCTCACTGTCCACTCTGCCTGTCCAAAAAAAAAAAAAAAAAAAGTCATTAAGATAATGAATTCATAAAACATATACAATAGGGATAGAAGACTGCTATAAACACAAAAGGATAAATTGCAAAGCTCTCTTGCATACTTATATTTTATGACATATTCAGCTGTCTGTTTAAAAACCAGTAACGATTAGATAGAGTGAGGCACATGTGGAGTCAGACCGTCCCACCCTTCACTGGCATGACTGTGGGCAAGCGACATAACCTCTGTAAGCCTCAGTTTCCTCATCTGTAAAGAGGAGGTAATGGCAGTATGTACGTTACTAAATTGTGAAGAAAAAAACAAATTATGATACATAAAGAGGAACTGGCATTGCGGCACGGCAGGTAAGGCCATCGCCTACAAGGCAGGCATCTCTTAAAGGTGCCAGCTTGAGTCCAGGCTGCTCCACTTCCAATCCAGTTTCCTGCTAACATGCCTGGGAAAGCAGTGGAAACTGGCCCAAGTCTCTGGGGCCTTGCCTTACTGTGGGAGACCTGGACATTTGGGGAGTGAGCAGCTGATGTCTCTCTGTCTCTCTCTCTCTCTCTCAGGTTTGCACATCCTGCACAGATCCGCAGCTCTCAGCCCCTGGAACACACGTGGTTTCCTCAGCTCTCCTCTCTTGCAATAGCAGGGCTTCTCCTGTGCACACAGCATGCACAGATGCTCCAACTCCTGGATGCCAGCAGCTCCCAGAAGCCTTCCCAAGTGTTTTTTATTTATTTATTTATTTATTTTAGTAAACTGCCTCTACCAAAACCCCTAGTGAAAGTTTTCTTGGGCACGATAGAGGAGGGGGTGGGTTTCCTGAAAGTTCCAGACAGAGGGCTTCCAGCAAGCTACACTGGCGCAGCACCACAGTGACTTCTTGGCTATCCACTTTGCCACGGCCATGACCTCTCAAACAAGGTCTGGTTCTTAACTGGGGACACTTACAGTGGGACACTGTAGCTCAGCCCTAGGGGTGTGGCTGCTTCTTCCATCTGCACTGCTGTATTCCCTAGAGTTCTCGTTACTTCTTTCCGGGGAATCCCTCACTACTCTATTCCTCTGTAGTTCCGTTTCCTGCTAGACCTTGAATGAAACACCCTCGGAGCTCCTCTCCTGGCCCCTAGGATGTGCCCCCCACCCCGCCCCAGGACTTTCAGCCTTCATTTTCTCCTTCACACACTCCAAGGCTACTGTTGGTTTGTCTATTTCTGCTCAGGATGACCAGGGATGTTACCAGATCTTCACATGGCTGACTCGATGTGCGCCTCCTCTGAGTCACAATCTAGATCCTCCAATCTAAAGAAGCCCTTTCCTGTCCCCTCAGCACCCATCGCCATCAAGCAGATGGCCCTCTTTATGACTGTCTTGAACCATCTTGTTCTTCTCTTTCTCCGCCCCTCCATCATTAAGTGTAAGCTCCATGAGAGTGGAGACTGAGCCTCTCCTGTTTGCTACTAGAGCTCCAGGGAACAGAGGAGTTGCCAGATATTAGAGTAATTGACAAATAACTGTATAAAGAAGATAGGAAGAAATCAAGGAGGACAGGGAACAAAGAAGAAAAGGAAGGAGGGAAGAAAGAAGGGAGTAAGGAAGTGAGAGAGGGAGAGCAGACGGAGGCAGGGAGGGGCTGTGACGTCACCAGACCTGTTACTCTAATCCAGTTCCCAATCCCAATGCCTTTGATTGAATCAACTATTTGCAGTACTCATTCCCCCAGTTACTGCTGCTCAGGATCCTGGAATCATTCCCTTTGCTACGTCCCACAGGCAGTCACTAAGAACCGCAGTTTTCCTTTAAATTTGTCCTTACTTCTGCACTCCCTTCTCCAACTAAATCACCATTCCAATCAGGTCTCCCTGGAATCAAGATTGTATTATCTAAATAGCCTGCCGACTGGTCTCTCCGATTTCAGGTTCCTTCTCCTTTCCAGTCTCCTCTGAATAGTCCTGCTCACCAATCTTTCTGAAATGCTGCTTTTCACTGACCCCTGCTCCTCTTCTCCTTTACAGATCCATTGTTACTTGTTTTTAACACAACGAAATGTATTTGTCTACCTTCCAAAGCCCTCTGACACTGGCCACGTGCTCCCAAATAAGCCTCACTGCCCTTCAAGCCAAAATAACCTTTTCCGTCTTGTCATTCCTGGTTCCCTCCAGCCTCGTGAACAAGACCACCTGTGTTTCAGAGCCTTCACTCTGAGTGAAGGGAGT